CACACACACACACACACACACACACACACACACACACACACACGCACACGCACTGCTGTAAATGTTTCTCAGCAATATTTCATGATTCTTGTATTTTTTCAGCCCCTCCTATCAAATCCAAGGACTTCTTAAAGACCAGCGTACCTCTGATCCCAGGTGATGGTCCTAAAACATTTTTGTAATGCTTCCCAACTGAATTCTTAATTTTAAACAAGGCTGCTGTTTTTGTTTTTTGTTTTTTCATTAGATGGGGGTATGCCTGTGAGACCTCCTCCACAGAAACCCGCCACAGCTACAGGTTTGAGTTTGCTCTTCGTTCAGAGACCAGAACCTGTCCCTGTTCTGATGGCTCATGTTTCCTGTCCTGTGTTCAGGTGASAAGGTGTCGTTCTCCGCCGGCTTAACTCTCCCGCGGTTTCAAGAAGTCGGAATCATTCGATTCAACAAGGTGCTCGTCAATGACGGGGGACATTATGACCCACAAACAGGTAACTTTTACCAATCACTTTAAGTATCAGCTGTTTAAACGTTTTGTTATGTATAAATCTAAAAAAAAGACTTATTTGTGCATCACATTATCCAAAGCAAATCCACTGAGTGAATCTGGAGACATTTAGTCACCAACATTCTAGTTTAAAAAAGCCAAATGTTCGTGTTTGATGAGAATGTGCTCTCTGTGCTGCAGGTATCTTCACTGCTCCCACAGATGGCCGTTACCTGGTGACAGCTGCACTCGCAGCCCAGGGGGGTGAAAAGGTTGAGGCCGTGCTGTCAGTGTCCGATCGCAGCATCCAGAAGCTGGACTCGGCAGGTTTCCTGTCTGAAACCCAGCCACCGCCATCGCAGTGCGGCTGCAGCGGGTCGACGTCGCTGAGTTTGGTCGTTTCAATGAGACGAGGAGACCGAGCAGGACTCGTCCTGACTGCCGGAAAACTCGCTGTTTCAGACTCCCCGCAGATCCTGTCATCGTTTAGTGTCGTGCTTCTGTACGCCAACCCAATGAAACGGTAGCTACTTCGACACTTTACTGTAAATACACCTGAGCTATGAGGTTCACTGTGTTAAATTATGAGAGGAGGGAAGGACAAATGTATTTATGAGCCGTAAACAAGGAAGTGAGTGAAACGGTCTCTAAACATCAAATAGGATTGTCTGCATTGTGAGTAATATATAGCTTTTATTGCAATAATATTAGTTTTTTGTTTTATCTTTTCTTCATATTTTGCTCAAATAATCCACAGAAGTTGATCACATACCTTGATTGCACTGAAACGCAAAAAAAGAAAAAGAAAAAAAAAAGCTTTGCCTGTCATTTTAAAAGCAGCCTTTTTAATAAAACCATTCAACATGACATATTTTCATTGTTCCACATTATATCTACCACCTGTGCAGAGAATATCCRAACAGTTATTAAAGTGATTTGTATCGTTCGAGTCATGAAAAAATCTTTTGTCCTGACAGTTATCCTTTGTGCTTAAACGGCTACAGTAAAATATAAACTGAATTACCACAAAGCAGCAGCAAAATGTCTTCATTCAAAAGTGAAAATGAACTAAAACAAAAAAAAATCTGTGTGCTCTCTTCACACAAAGGTTCCCTTTCATAGAAAGAATGCAGTAAGTTTTAGACATTTGATAATAAACATAAAAACTACAAACATTAAAATCATCAATTTCTTACAAATGAAGTATCTATCACCAGCCTAAACACCATTTCCTGCTTTTTTTGTTGCAGCACCACAGCTTCACAGGACTGTTATAACACATGTGGTCACTTTCTGTGTTTTTGTGTTAATGAAGACATTTCTAGAAATGACTTAAAGATAAATTTGGAACAATGGTGTGTCCACGAGGACAAGGTCTGAGTTGAAATGATAGTTTGGTAAAACTACTTACCAAATAGCAGCAGGATTTACATTTTGCTTTCTTTATCTAGAATACAGTAATGCAGTTTGAACACTTCGCAGCACATTGTTCTCAGCGTGTTAGTGCAATTTTTTTTCTACATTTTGGAGAATTTATAAATGAATACAAACGTAAGGACTTAAAAAAAACTTTAAATTGGCTCTATGATGTCAAATKAAGTATGGAGTTCTACACTGACCAGTTTCCATGCCTTTACTGCTTACATTAATGCTTATCCAACTACTTCTCACATGTGCAGCTGTAAAGAACAACAGATGTTGCCCCTCAGGGTTCTGTATGAACACTAAGGAAAATGACACACGYTTTACGGTTAAATCAGAACATATTTAAGACAGTTACAGCAGCTCCTCGAAGCAAACCTGAGCAATYGGCTGCTTCCAGAAACAGAAGGAGCTGAACTCGGGGCAGCAGAAGGTGGCGTTGTGTTGTGTGTTTCGTAAAGGAAAAACGTGCTCCACCAGCTCACTCAGCCTGCTGTACCTGCCAAATATATTAGAAACAGACACCAGTGGAAACATTTCTCTGAGAGGTAACAAGTGACAGATTAAAGCTCCGGTGACGTTTCATTACTTACGAGGTTTTATTGCCTTTGGCTTGTTCGAGAATCAGCTCCCCCTTAGGATTCACCGTGAATATTCGACACACAGGCACGCCTACTTTTTTGTAGGCAAACACRTCCTAAAAAAACAATAAAGATCCTCCTCATAGACTGTTCATTGGAAAAAAATAGTAACACTTTAGAKCTGGGAACACAAATTGGGATTACATAACTTTAAAAATTCAGCCTAATAAAGAACCAGATTTGAGTTACATTTATTAAGATGGCAACTATAAAATTTTGTTGTGCAAATAATCCAAAGATAAAACTATCTCTCATACTTGTTGATCAGTTCAGTCTATCTTATTAAAGTTAATAAAAGACACTTTTCCACATGTTGAATTTATCATAATTCACTGAATGAGAACAGAACCAGTGCATTTAGATCAACCCATTTAAATGTTAATAAAAAAATGTTTTTCCTCACTCTTATGAAGCAATGCTACAAATAGTATTGAAACAGTTTTTAATTATTTAATTTTAGTTGTACAATATAATCCCTCAGAATAAATAAGTTTAGTAGATGGTTTATAGCAGTGTTTCCCAAAGTTGGGGTCGGGACCCAAAGTGGGGTCCCGAAACATCAAGGTGGGGTCCTGAAAAGATTTTCTGAATTAATTACATTTTTGCCTTAGTTGTTACAAAGGGTTAGTATATCTAAAATGGATAAATGTAGTATAAAAATATTGTTACTATGCCCATGTTTTGTTGACCTGATACAAATG